TTATTATAACTGCTATATTGTAATTTTTTTGTGGATATTTTCATAATTTGCTTTATTAATGCTACACGATTCTCAGCATCAATCATTATCAGTTATTGAATAGGATCATCATATCAACAGTCATGTTAATAATAATCCCTCCAAAACAAAAAAAAATAATAAATTGGTCATTTTCAATCCACAACTCTCTGTGGGACGCTGCTGTATGCAATTGGCTGCCGCGTTCGCCCACAAATATACAGTCAATTCACTTTACAGTGTGTTCTGTGAAGTGCTTTGGGACGTCCTCCCGACGTGAAAAGCGCTATATCAAATGCAAGGATTATTATTATTATTATTATATTCTGTGAAGCGCTTTGAGACGTCTCGAAGACGTAAAAAGCGCTATATCAAATGCAAGGATTATTATTATTTATTATGTCATTTAAAAAAACTGGTCAAAACCATGAAAGCAATAATAATAATAATCCTTGCATTTCATATAGAGTCTGATCACATTGTTGAGACGTCTCAAAGCGTTTCACAGAATATATTGTAAAGTGAATTGACTGTATATTTTGCGGGTGAAATACATGGTCAATATATTCAGTATTACCAGGTTGACAGCAGCCGCTTAAGAGAGGCATTTGAGGAGCTGTAATTTGCTACCAGTCCCTGCTTTGGCCTTTTAGTGTAATACAAATCACTGAAACTTATTAATAACTGGTGTTCAAGGCAATAATGTAACACCAGCAAGCAGTGTATAGCACAGAGCCTCTGTTCCTCGGCAGGCTCTCTCCCTGGTGGCTCTACTTCAGGGAACATTCTCCCATTTCTTGGCCTTGGGGGTTAATCTGCCTTAATCCATCTCTGTCGATGGTTTGCTCTATACTGATGGTAATGGCAAGGGTGTATGGCTTTGGCTTTCCATTACTGATCTAAGACTGCCCACGCACTGTCTGTGAAGCCTCAAGTTCACTGTTTTTTGGCAGCAGCTCAAGTTCACCATCTGATTGAGATGACTGAAGGCTGTTCTTATCCTCTTGCCTCTCAGAAGCCAGAATCCTGTGTAATTTCTGAAGCTCACACTTGGAACTGCTCTCAGATATCTAATAGAGCCACAGGCAGAGTTGTTTCCAGAGCTGTCTGTTTTACTAAACCCGTGAGTCGGGAGGATTATATCACAGCCACTATGTCAGGTGACATTTGTTGATCAATGGATTCTAATCCATGTTATTTCTGGTCAAAGTTACCTTTACACAGAGCTTCATGTTTAGAGAATTTGGGCTTTCTGTTTTGCTTGTAATTAGATGTCCTGTCTCTATTGCTAACCAATATATATGAAGCTGAAAGGCCTCAATCCAAGTTTGCTCAGACAATTGAGTTATTGTTTCTACTGTCCAGCAATTGAATTTTTTTAAACCAAATTCTGTCATTATCTTAAGATGCATCACGGTAAATCCTTGCATTTGATGCAGCATCTTACTATGTCCAAATTTTCTGCAAAATGTAGTAACTGTGCAAAATGTAGGCAAATGCAGAGGTCGAATTGAACACAGCAATGCAAGATAAACAGCCATGAAGTGAATGACCAATTTTATTCGGGGGACTGTTGGCCAAGGCACCAGCAGAAGAAACTCCCTTCTCTTTTTGAACAGTGCTGTCGGGACGTGAACATGTACCTGAAAAGGCAGATGGGACGTGGGTTTAATGTTTCATCTGCACCACTGACATGGCAGCACTACGCCAGAACTGCATCAGTGTCAGTCATAATCCCATCACTGGGACTCGAATCCACAACCTTCCAACTCGGAGGTAAGAATGTTAGTGATTGAGCAAAGCGGATACACCTCCTGAGTAAGAACATTCAGCACTAACAAGAAGGGAACCTGATTGCCATTAGGACACTCTCCAATGCACCTTCACGTCAGACAGTCTGAATAATAGTGCACATTCATTCTTTAACTCAAAGTGTATTTACCCAGAAAATTGAAGTGTCTTCACAGTGTAACCAATGTATGGCTCAATGTGCAATTAATTCAGCTTAGGAGAAGCTGGAATCTCTGCAGTTACATTTGTCAGTTGAAAGGTAGTAATGTTGAGGATAGTTTATGATGTAAGGGAGGTATACAATATATTTATATATTATTAAGGTATAATAATAATGCACATCGCTCACTTATAACAGTTTTTGGTTTGCAAATATATTGATTTGATTTTACACAGGGTGAAATCTGCAGTATAGTTTGTGGTTTAGAAATATCAGCCCAGGGTTCAGTTGGCTGATGGTTTCTGGCAACATTTTTAAAAAGCCGTATGGAGACTGGCGTGGTTTATACTAAGATTGTGAGATTTCCTGGTTTGGAGATTATGTAACGGGTGCTTTTCCTGCTCAGACAGGCAGGATGTGGCTGTCACAACTCGTTACTTTCCATTCGAAATGGCCCTAAAGCAGCTGGCCTATTGCTAACCCACAAGCCGTCCATCTTTCTACAGTAATAACAACATTCCGCCCTGCCTCAGCCTGAAAAACCTTTATAGAGGGTGAATTATAAATATTTAAACACACAAAATTAGTGCCAATTCGGCCGGGGTGGTAGCACTCGTGCCTCTGAGTGAGAAGGTTGTGGGTTTAAGCGCCACACAGAGAACATAGGCTGCTAATGGAGACTGATACCTCAGTGAGATAATGAGGAAACTCTATTATTATTTGGATGTGGCACTAAATCAAGGTTCCGTCTGCCTTTTCAGTGGACTCCTTGGCAATATCCTAACAAAAGCAGTGTTATTCTGGTTAAAATTCATCCAACCTGTATAAAAAACAGGAATCCTGCAGCTCAGTGGTTAGAGCACTCGCCTTGCAAACGAGACACCTGGGTTCAATTCCAGGCAGAGGGCGAAACCTTGGGCAAGTTTCCTTACTCCACACATCTAATAATAATCCCTCCAAAACAAAACAATAATAAATTGGTCATTTTCAATCTACGACTGTTTGTGGGACATTGCTGTGCGCAATTGGCTGCCGCGTTCGCCCACAAATATACAGTCAATTCAGTTTACAGTGTATTCTGTGAAGCACTTTGGGACGTCCTCCCGACGTAAAAAACGCTATATCAAATGCAAGGATTATTATAATGAGAAACAGTTCAGGACATTTTGACAAAAGACACTATATCAAATCCAAGTATTATTCTAATTGAACACATGCGAACATCTCGTGCAATCTTCAGGGTCTGGGGCATCCTAATTATACCCTACAAATTCAATAATCTTTTATTATGATGTAGGTTTGAAGTCCTGTAGCTCAGTGGTTAGAGTACTCTCCTTACAAGCAGGAGGACCTTGGTTCGATTCCCGGGCAGGATGAAACCTTAGGCAAGTTTCCTTACTCTACATATCTCTGTTTACCTAGCAGTAAGTAGGAACCCGTATGTTAGTTGATTGGCGGATTGGTTTTCTGGGGGTAATAATCCCTTCAAAACAATAAATAATTTTTTTAAAACAAATGATAATTTGGTCACCCCAATCCACGACTGTGTGTGGGATGCTGCTGTGCCCAATTGGCTGCTATGTTTTGCCCACAAAATATACAGTTAATTCACTTTACAGTACATTATGTGAAGAGCTTTGTGATGTTAGAAGGACGGGATAAAGCAGTATATCAAGTGCAATTATTATAACTATAGCTGATAATTCCTTGATGGAAATCTCCTTTTTCTCCTCTCATTCAGGACAAATATTAATTGCTCATTTTTGAGAATTTTTTTGGGGGGAAGTACTTTATATTTCATTCTTTCAAGTCTTCAATCTACTTTGCGTTTTTTTTCCAAAGCCAGGAAATAAGGTTTTGCAAAACTCTATTTAAATTACCGTCAGGCTGGAAGCCTAATAACATTGGCGTAGGACTTGAAGGTTGAACAAATCCCTGATTGCTGAAGGCTGGCTATTGTATATAATCGTGTGGTTTCCTTGACATCAAACGTAAAAGGTCAGCTGAGATGCTGAAGATGTCAGACTGACAAATAACAATTCAGTATGTTGTTTGGAAGGCAAGATTTGTGCAGAGCAACATTCATCACGTGCCCAGCTGACTGTATAACTAACCTGGCGAGACAAATGGTCAAGAACTTGTAACCCCTGACATTTGACACACAAGTTAACTTGATTGCCGAAGTGAAATGCAGTCTAATGGCTTTTTTTTCTTTAACAAAAAGCAAACATGAGCAATTCAATGAACTCAAATCAAACATCAAAAGGGAGAACTCAGCTTCCGAGGATAGCAGTAAGCTTTCAGCACTCCGCAAATAATATAGAATTACCCGTTTCAAATGACTATTTGACAAGGAAATTGGTAAATAGTGACACGCAGGAATTCGCTAATGTTGTGTCTTGGAAACATCGGATAATGTTTGTCTTGCACTGGGGTAGATGTTGCAATTATCCTCAGTTGCTGGAGCAGTAGATACCATTTCAAACAAATGTAAATTTGTTAACAATTAAGAATAATAAGCAAGTGGATATTCCCAAGTGCAGGGCTCGAGTGGTGGTTGTGCACTTGCTGCCTGATCACTAACAAAAAGCAGTCTGAATCATTGCCTATGAGTTTATTGAGGGAGAGAAAATATCAGGCAGTGGGTCATCTCTGGCTTTGATGGCCAACATTCTCGTGGCTAGGAGATTACGTGAAGAGGCCCAGAGAGCAGGACATTTGTCCATCCTTATAATACAAGGAGGCCAGAAAAGAGAAGGCAAATGAATGCAAAATGGCACTTTTATTTGATGCAAATTCTTAAGAGCTTCTACTGTTTTCAGTATTCAACAAACCCAGAGAAACACTGAGACACTAAACATGGCGGAGAAGCATTAGAAGAATGAATGAAATCCCCTTCCTCATGTAATACGCTCCGTGCTCTTCATTTTGAGGAAACGTTGAGTGCCCCTCCTTCCCCATCTTCAGGTTGTGCCTGAAGACCTTCCTCTTCCTCACCCCCTGGTTTGGTGTCACTTTCCACCACTGTCAAGCCCTGGGGCGCTACCCTGTGCTGTGTACAAGCAAGTTGTTGTTGTTTCTCCTCCAACCGCCCTCACCCAAAAATGAGCAGTGCCAGAGGACTGACATTCCTCATAGCTTTATGCTGAAGATCATTGTCTTCAATTCCAAAGTCTGAAGGCTAAGTCGTGTGTACAAAGTTACACAGAGGAGATGAGGATGAATACATAGCGTTATTAAGGTTGCTCGCCTTTGGTGACAACTGAATACTTTTTCTCAAATGATCATTAACACACACAAGCCATTATTGCTTGCTTATGTCTCTCTCTATAATTATATTATATTAAACAGATGCATTTAATGGATGAAACAGAGGCTCCAGTAAACCTTAGATGAATGCGTAACAGAGAGAGGCTATTTATTAGCTGTAATATTTTGACATAATATATGTCACTTCTTAAGGATCTCTGGTGAAGATTGGCTTCTTTCTCTCCTCATTCTTTGATTCTTTTCTCATTTGTTGTTTTTGGTGAATTGTTCATTAAGCAGCGAGAGATACTGTGTCAGCTTTACCATGACAACAATTAAAGTTCCTCCAACGAACAAGCACAACGGCCAGAACAAGGTGTGGAACACAGCGTTAGGTCCTTTGAGCCTGGTCAACAGAACATTCTTTTGTCTTCCGTCCGGGTCATAGTAACAAGGGAAAGGCAAGGAGGAGACCTGGAACTTGGTGAAGTTGTCTCGAATGGCGGTGATTAAGATTTCAGAATCTGAAGAATTCTTTTTGCACTTTGGCACGTAGAAACACTGAAAAAGAATAAAGAAGGTTATTATTCATTTCTCTAACTCAGTTAATGTCACAGAATTATGTGTCACAGTTAGGACACAAAAGAAAGCCATTTGACACAGCACGTCTGTGTTGGCACTGACTCCAATGCTGCTACTCTTTGCCCAGAACCTCTACAATTCCTCAAGTAATAATCTGAGTTTTGGTGCTTGCCTGATGTTTCTAGGATTTGTATTTAATAATCCATTAAATAAACCTGAAAATGAAATGGATCTCATCCGTGTGAAGTTTTGCTCTTTCGGCACATGTATTTTATCCAGAGAAGTTGAGCATTGATATGATGGAGAAGCTCCAAGACACTACGTGTGAAGGTCCCTGTATAAACAGTGCATCAGCCGGGCGCAGTGTTAGCACTCTCGCCTGAGTCAGGAGGTTGTGGGTTCAAGTCCCACATCAGGCCTTGGAAACAAATAGTCCTAGCTGTACATCCTGTGAAGCGCTTCGAGAAAATCTCAATGACATGATAAGGTGCTGTATAAAATGCAATGATTATTATTAAATGCATGTTGTTCTTTTTTCATCAAGGGCTTTGAGATGTTCCCTGACATAGAAATGTAAATCGTATTGTAAACGTTGGCATATTTGCTGAGATCAATAAAAAAAGTACACATTTACAAATATAGCTGCGCCTTTCAAACAGAAATATTGCTTAAAATAATCACTCCACAAGTATGAGCCTCCCATCTATCCCTCTCCTACACCCTATGTTGATTCGTATGTAACTGGCAGTCAGTGAGTAGGTAATCGAGGAATTCTCCTACCTCAATTTTCGAGAGGACGGTTTCTTCTGTGTGATGTAGCAGAACCCTCTGCCCTGAGGATAACAGATTAACGTACACCTGCAAACAGGGATAGTCTGATGTTTGGTGACAATCCTCCCCACAGCTGTACGTGCAGCTCCTGCGATCAGTGATATTGGCCTCCAGTACGACACATTGTGACTTCTCTTTCCAAGCGCTGAGTGAAAGAAAGGACAACTGTTTCCTGCGGCCTCGGCTTTTACTCCGTTAACTGAATGTCAGTAAAATGTACGTTTAATAACGGTCGCCATTAAAAATTCAACAGTCATTCTGGCGGCTGGACATTTTCCGGTGCAGGTTGTGTGACAGACATTGACTGTATAGTAGTATTTAGTTAAAGATTTATGCCATTAAATTGCAACTGATATTGAAACATTCCTGGTCTGTGGCCCTGAGTTAGCTGATCTCAGGCAGACAACAGCTGAGGGGCTATAATTGGCTTCAGCGCCCATGGCTCAGGCAGGGAGGGGTCAATTAAGTGGGGTTCCTGCTCCAGATTGAGATCCACAGACGCTCTCTTGCTGTGTGGCCGTTGAGTGGACAAGACTGAGCTCAGCTGTGATAGCCCAGAGGTCAAACAGGCTGTCAACGCTCACTGTCGATTCTCACAATGATCATTGGACACTAGTGACAGCTCCTGGAGGGCAATGTGGAACTGTATCCCAGTCAAAAGGTGGATGAGTCCGATGTCTTCAGTAGAGCAGGAGAGCAAGGGGGAGAAACCAGGGAGGAAAATATATCGAAGCATAAAAGAAAGCTGGCAAATCTGAATTTCCTGGCTTTTTTTTCGGGCTTTATTGCGTTAAATGAAAATTGTTTGTATCCCATGTCACTGGGACTCCCTGCACATTTGGGATTCAAAAGATAAAATGATGATGTAATAAATTTTAAAAAATCGTTTTACAAAAGTAAATGGCTGAGCCAAGGATTTTGTAAGAATTACTTTTTTTTTGACTTTCAAAGGCATAATAATTGAACTGAATCATATTCATGCTCTGAAACCTATAAGTATTTCTAACTGTTATATTCAGGACAGAAATCTGTCGTACCTCTCTTTGGGGGATTGGATCATTGTTATTCCCAGAAGGAAACACATCATCACAGAACACACCATCATTCCCAGACCCAGAAACATCGCCCTGTCCTCTCCTGCCTTCAGGGCCGTGTCTGTTTTCCGTTTGTCCAAAATGTCGTACGCTCTTAATTTTTTATAAAAGCTTCTGAAATGGAAACACATACATCAGTCCTGGGAGAATAATTGATCCCTTGAGGTCAACATTGGAATCATCACAGCTCTCGCTGTTTACTTAATCATTCTTGCACTTAATATAGAACCTTATCACACCGTTGAAACGTCTCAAAACATTTCAACGGACTTACCGGAAAGTGTAGTGACTGTATTTTGTAGGCGAATGTGACAGACAATTTTCACATAACAGCACAAACAGCTGTCAAGTGAATTATCAATTTTTTCTGGAGGATTGTTGGCCAGGACACCTGGAGAAATTCCCTTCTCTTTTCGAATAGTGGGATCTTTAGCATCAACCTGAACAGACAGACGGAACCTCAGAGTTGAGCCACATCTGAAAGGATGTCACCGCCAACAACGCAACACTGAAGTGACAGCTTAGACTGTGAGCTCAAAGTCCTAACGTGTGGCTTTTACATCCACAAGTTTCTGACTTGGAGGCTAGAGTCTTTCAAACACTTGTTTATTTTCAGATCATCTTCCCTGTTTCCATTGAATCACTATTTGAGGTCCCGTCTGCCTTGAACCTCAGGTTGCTCTCCTCCACCACAAAGCTATTGAAAAAAAACTAGATCTTTTCCTTCCGATGATTTGCCCTAAATTTTATCCTCCAAATTTTTCCCAAATAAACTGCCTGCTCGTCTCACTCTTGTTTTGAGGAAGTTAGTGTTTGCCTTCCCTAACAGTCACTTAAATTCCAATTAATTTTACTCAGTAAAGTGCATTGAGATGTTTCCTATTGCCTGAAAGTTGGTGTTGTTTCTCCTAGATATACAGGCACGTGACACAGAGAGATGTGTGCAGGTCTCACAATAACATAGATAAGCTATGGTTCCAGTCACACTCACAGCCACAAAGCTTCTGCCTCTACATCAGTAAGCTATCTACAAATAAAGCAAACATGCCAAGGTTATGAGGCTGCCAGACTAAATATATTCCTGTTGTTTCCCATACAGTATTGGGTAATCCTTCATATTTAACTGATGTTTTCATGCCCAGGGAATTAATTTGGGTTGGAATTTCTGAAGACATCATTACCTGATTGGTTACAGCTGCAAATAGTTCAACAGACTATAAATAGCAAAAAAATGTCAAGTTGGTATTAGAGAAGAAATCAACACGTGCAGAAACAGCCATCGATGGTGAACTCGATTCTGAGGTGTCCAGAAACCTACAATTGCAGTTAGAGGTTAGAGGGGAAAAGGAACTTTGCTGCATATCTGAGGAGGATCCAAATTGTAAATGTACTTTTTAAATGACAAAAAATCTGCATTTCAGTTTTAAGTAGTACATAGTTTACATATTATATTGCTCATTATCCAATTATTCTGCCAGACCAAAAAGTATCCACGATAACAATTTACATTTATTAAGTCAAAACCCAAAATACTGCAGATGCTGGAAATCTGAAAACAAAACCAGAAGTGGCTGGGAACACTCAGCAGGTCAGGCAGCATCTCTGGAGAGAGGAAAGTGAGTCAACAGCTGACGAAGGGTCTTGGACCTGAAAGTTTGACTCACTTTCCTTTCTCCATTGATGCTGCCTGATCTGCTGAGTGTTCCCAGCGACTTCTACATTTATTTAATACCTGTTACTTCGGGAGGATGTTTCGAAGTGCTTCCCAACTGATGGGATTGGGGGGGGAGCTGAGGTGACCAAGAGGACGCGGTGGGGGTGAATTTACAATGTACTTTGCCATTGTAAAACTTTAAAAAGTAAAACTTTACAATGGCATAACAGTCAACAGTATGTGGGATGTGATGGTGTAAGCTGTGAAACGGTCAGTAGGACCTTAATCCTGCTCACTGCTGTGAGAACAAGTCCAATTTATTGCATTGAATCTCCTTGAGTCTATCGGTTGAAATGACCTGGAATACTTTCCTTTCACTCCAAGCAAGAATAATAATAATGCTATAATAATTCTTACATTTGATATAACAACTTATCACATCTTCGAGAGGTCTCAAAGCACTCAAAGAATATAATGTAGATTGGATTGACTGTATATTTTGTGGGCAAAACGCATCAGCCAATTGCGCACAGCAGCGTCCCACAAACAGCCGTGGATTGAATGACCAAATTATTATTATTTTTTTGAAGGTATTATTATTACCCTGGGAATGCAATGGAGTCCCATTTTACCATCAAAAAGGATTGTGTGTGTTAAGCAGATCCTATATCAATATTTATACAGGAGGCATTGAGATACATTGTATTTTCAAGTCAGTGATATATTTACTGTATAGGCATCCATTTTTAGAATAATCATAGCACAAAATAATTGTTGTACAATTATAGAAAATGTTCTATTCCCATCACAACGCGTCTCTTTCAAACCCTCAGTTCCTCTGAGTCTACAAACTGCACAATCACACTACCTTACAATATATCCTGTCCAGTGCTTCGAGACGTCCTCCCGACGTGAAAGGCATTGTATCAAATATAAGGATTATTTATTTATTATTACTACATGCACCATTGACTGAGCCAGAGCACGCTGGTACTGAGGCCTGGATATTAGCATTGGATTCTTCATTAAATCAATTTGTTTATAATAATAATAATAATTCTTGTCTTTGAAATAGCACCTTATTGTTGAAATGTCTCAAAGTGCTTTAGAGTAATTACTGCTAAATGTAGTGACTGTGTATTTGGTATGTGAATGTATTTGTAATGGGAGAAATCAGCAATCGGGAGGGCCAATGTACCTTCTCACCACACAACGCATCATCCAATCCACTTTGTGTGCGGCAATGATCTGTTTAATAATATTGTAAAAAAAAGCATTGAAATTTCTCAGTCCTTACAATGGACTGACTTTCAATGGTCACCAGCCCAGTGAGCCTTGGCACCTGCCATGTTTGATCCAGCGCCTTATCACATCGATAATACGCCTCAATGCGCTTCACAGAATATACTGTAAATTGAATTGACTTAATTTTGTGGCCGCCAATTGCGCACAGCAGCGCACAGTAACCATTTGTGTTTACCGAAAGAGGAAAAGGCAGTAAAGTAGGTCTTACCTTCCTTGGTGCTCTGTGCTCTGTGAAGAGGCGCGTGGTGTGGCCCACAGAAACATCCTTAACCCCGAGCCACTCCTGGTACCTTGTCTTGCTGGGGAGAAGGAATGCACAGTGGGATGAAGGGCCCTATCAGAGGATAGATCTGTTAATGCCTCAGCGTGGCTGGACACCAGGCTATTTAAAAAAATAGTTTCATGCAATCTCCCTGTGGCTGTGGGACACAAGTCACCCAACTGCAATATAATCTAAAAATGAAGTTATTTTTATTTTCTCTTGCTATTTCCTCCTCTTGCCATTTTTTTGCTTTCAGGAGTTGTTTGTGTACTTTGCGAGCAATGTGGCTTCTTGTTGTGATGTTGCTGTAGGTGATATGTTTAGCTCCAGAGTGTGTGTGAGGACTTACCAACTAACTCATATAAATCTGGAGTTAAATTTGATTATAATTCAGGGCCTTGGCTGTGCAATAATTTTCCGATTGGCTCTGACTCTAGAAGCCATAGCAACGCATCGAGGTGCACAGGTGCTCGTATGCAACAGATGATTGCCGATGTGGAAAGTAAACTTTGCGGCTCACGTTCCCTGGTGTTGATTTAAATCTCTGGCTTTACCATGGGGACCGGCTGTGCGACTTCAGACGGGAAATCAATCGGTTTTCTGAAGAGTAAAAGATTCCTGTTAGCCGGCAGGAAGAGGGTTTGCCATCTGGAAACTCCAACCTGGAATAAATTCCTCGGTTCCTCGGTGACGCTACCCTGTGTGACGGCCGTTGTGTGAATGCAAGTTGTTGTTGTTTCTTAACAACGAGAGCTATTAACAGGCCACAAAAAGCAATAAATCACAGCAGAGCCTTGTTCTCTGCTCCTGGATCTGGCTTCATGAATCAAAACAGTGTCTGTGGGACCAAATACAATTGATTGTTTAAAAAGACTTACTGTCGGTAAGCTATAATATCATTGCTGCACCTGACAGATATCATTTTGTATTGGAGCCATGCAATCACACAAAGGGATCTAGGTACGAAATTTCTGAGTCTAAACTCTATTTATGTAACATGTGACAGAGTGCAGAACTTGGCAAATTGTTCAATTCAGCCTTAACTTTGAAGCGTTTTGTCTGTAGCTTCTTAAAAGAACCTTTCCTGCTCCTGTATAACCAGTGCTGACTCCCTCCCCTCCCAATTGATGATGGTGTGTGGAAGCTACGAGAGGACAGGACAGCACTTGGCAGGACTTTCTCACAATGACTGGATGGTCTGTGGACAGCAGTGTCAAAGCTCACACACGAGCCACTGGAGGGGAATCTCCGCTGTGGAACAGACTTCCCCCAGTTGAAGGAAAAATGATGGTGTGAGAAGAGGAAAACAATTGCCAAGGAGAACGATATCAAGTCAAAACTAAGAAGGAAAAGCAATGAGAGATGTTAAACCCCAGATGTTGTCCGTCAACCAATGTGACAGACTTTCAGTCAGTGTTTTGAGAGCTGTCTGCTCCTGGCTACGTGAGAATAGCTGTCAAATTCCTACCCCCAAAACAGCACTAACATAGGAACAATGTCCTTTCAAAGCCCTGCTGCTGATTATTTTATTATTACTGAAGAAGGACATGAAGAGTAACCAATGTATTTACCGATCTTGTACCAAACCCTCTCTATGTGTTGGTATTCTGTTTGTGAACATTCAGAGACTTGTTCATCACCACCATATCTGACCATCTAAAGGGACAAAATCCTTTCAGGATCTCAGATCTTATCTCCAGATTCACATTTAACATGGTTTATCTCATACGGTAAGATGATAAACAGCTTTGGTTAAAATGCCTACAATAATAATAATAATAATCCTTGCAGTTGATATAGCGCTCTTCACATCTTCTAGATGTCTCAAGACGCTTCACAGAATAGACTGTAAAGTGAATTGACTGCATTTTTGTGGGCGAAATGCAGGATCCAGTGAAATTCAGGGCAGATTTTAATGATAATAATCCTTGTATTTGATAGAGCACTTTTCGCATAGGAAGGGAGTATTATTAAAGCTTAGCATTGCTACAAATTGTAGAATCATTGACTGAGGATATGTACATTTGAATGCTTGGTGTTCAGTGTTTAACATATTGTATAAGTAGAATATTATTCTCTGGAAAACAAAGAGGACAAGTTTGTCTCCTTATATACCAGTAGTTTACCAAAAAATTAAATTCTTTGTACATAATCTGCTCAAATGCAATCAAATGTTACTGACCTGAAAAGGTCAATAACACAAGTGTGCATGTCAATTAATATCCTCAGCAACAGACAAGCATACAAACTGACCTCACTGGGATGGACAGTAGATAATGATAAATAAAAAGTAAAAAAAATACAAATTAATAAACAATTATTAAAATAATAATAATTATTGCATTTGTTACAGCGCCTTATCATGTTGCTGGTGCATCTCAAAGCGCTTCACAGAATATACCCTAAAGTGGATTGACTGTATATTTTGTGGGCATAATATGGTAGCCAATTGCGCACAGCAGCGTCCCACAAACACTAGATCTGAACACTGAGCAATCTGATCATGTTGGGTGAAGAAAGCCCTTTTGATCCATTGGATTCCATCCTTCCATAGTGTCCTCCCTCCTGAATTCCCATCGTAGTGTTGAGCTGTATTGGGTAAACAAGTCTATCATCCAGGCTTCAACCACCTTTCCTGGCAACCTGTTCCACTTGTTAATTACCCACTTTTATGAAGGCAGCTGACTAGCTTTGTGTGTGCACCTTACCTCACGTGTTCAGATGCCCATCAGTAAAGAGGAAATGCCAATCAAATAGAAAGTCTTTTAGAAAGCAGACAAGTTAGCTCATACAACTAATTATTCATCTTAAACAGGCCAAAGCATGGTTTGATTGTTGTTTTTTTAAAGAAAAGGTGCAAGGATTTATTTCTGCCAAGCTAGGTGTCTGCCACTCTACGTGTTGGACAACATACAGACAAAATAAATAACATGTCTTTCTAATTATCGACATGCACAAAATAAAAGCCTCTTCGCTAGGCAGCTCTCTGTCATTTCTAACATGACAAAACATCAATATTTAATGCTGTGTAACTGAACACAGCAGCTGTTGTGATATGGCAGCAGTGACTGAGTTAATGTGCCTGGGGCTGGCTGTGATATGTGTTGTGTTTGACATTCAGTGGGACAATGGGAGAAAGTTGAAATTCAAGTCACATTTAGCTGGGAAGTCAGTGCTGTGTACGGAACAAAAGATGCGCAGATTGGCAGGGAGAGATTACAAACAGCGAGGTTTGCTTGTATTAGTGCCTGCTTTGGTCAGCTGCAATGATGAATTGGCAACAACCCTACAATGTGACTTTCCCTCTCCCCTTGTAGGTGAAGCTAATAAGATCTTCACTGAGAACTGGGTCATTTTACATTCTGAGCATTGGTGTTCCACTATGTGTTTCCAACCAGTAGTTTTGTGATCCCATGTAACAGCCATCAGAACATTGTACTAATAAATAGTTATCAATTCCTAAGGGAGACTGGTTAGCAACTGACGATATTCAATGCTAACTCGTCTCCTTTAGGAATTGTCTCCGTTAAGAAAAAGGTCACCTTTTCCCTTTGAGCTCTGCTTGTATTGGCAGTTTGTTGTGAGGGACAAAATCAATTTACTTATATACGGAGCTTGGTTTTGTAATGAGCTTTGAAAGCTGTTGCAGGCACATTGAATTAACAACCGCTCGCTCTCATTCCCCATGGCTTATCGTGCAGACAAAAGCTTACTGCATCAAGTGTTGTATGCACCTCAGACAAATGGTCTTTCCAATGGACTTATTTTTATTCCAAAGAGTAGATGAATTAGAAACATAAATGCATTATTTATATATAATATATGTCTCGCATCCTTCTGTCTACTTACACACCACAATAAGTCAGGACAAGTCCCACGCTTGAGTTTATTAATTTATCTTCTAGTCTTCATGATCCTTAGTTTATATCTAACATACTGTTTAAAAACAGAACCTGACTGAACAGTATTGGAATAAAAGAATACAGTATAAACCAAGAGGATCAATAATATTATTTTATATCTATCCGATAGTACAAAAATATTCATCTTAATTTCCTAAACATAATTTTAAACATCCAATGCTGCTCTAGGGGTAAATCACGACATTGACTCCAGTTAAGTCTTCTTAATTATGATAAATCATTCGGACTTTTATAAAAAATTAACGCAATTACTTACGTCAGAGATCCCAGTTTTCTTTATAAAGTTCATCACGTATCAAGGCGAGAAAACCACTGAGATGGGGTTGAATGCTTTTTAAACCAATTTGCACATTTGTCGAATCATTATGAACAAAAGACAGCAAGTGTCCTCCAGTGACTTTATTATTATTATTACAATGGCATCAGTTGGCTGAAGGATGCTCACAGTCACAAGATATTTGTGTCCATCAGAAACTGTAACACACATGTCTCCCGGCGGAGGGGAGGTGGGGAGGGTAATCTTCTGACTTTAGCAGATCGGATGGGTTTGACTTCCTTCAATCTGGATTGATTTAGTTTCCAGGCATCATTTGTGCCAAACAGGCAACATTGATCTGATGTGGTGCAGCTGTAAGTTTGCTCATCCCTCCTACAACATTTAAATGACTATTTAGTCTGAGCGTGGGAACTAGCAAGGGCTGTGCTTTGTGTTTCCACGAAATTGTCTTGAGGAAGTCCTCATTATAATGAAAGATCTTTAAATGTATGTTATTGTTGTTGTTCCCTCTCGACGCTGGCGATCCCACCTGGCCTTAGCCCCAACAGCAGTTTTATCTTAAGATTTAAGATCGGGCAGAATTGTGGAATATTCTGAAGGTCAGTCTTAGTTTGGAAGTCAATATTCAAGTCTCTTCAAATACAAGAGTAGGGGTTATGCTTAATCTGTACAAAACACTGGTTAGGCCTCAGCTGGAGTACTGCGTCCAGTTCTGGGCACCTTACTTCAGGAAGGCCATTAAGGCACTGGAAAGGGTGCAGTGGAGATTCACGAGAATGATACCAGGAATTGGGGAACCTTAGCTATGAGGACAGGCTGCAGAAGATAGGACCTTTCCCATTAGAGCAGAGAAGGTTACGTGGGGACCTGATAGAGGTCTTCAAGATCATGAAAGGTTTCGACAGGCGAGATAGGGAAAAGCTGTTTCCGCTGGTAGGTGTGTCTGTGACCCGCGGTCACAGTCTGAAGATATCTACCAAAAGAAGCAGAGGGGAGGTTAGAAGAAATGTTTTCACTCAGCGAGTTGTTCAAATTTGGAATGATCCGCCCGAAAGGGCAGTGAAGTCCGATTCCATAACAGCTTTTAAGAGAGAACTGGACAGGTATCGGGGAAAGACGGGTTTGTGGGGTTATGGGGAGAAAGCTGGTGATTGGGGTCAGTGAAAGTGATGCTCTGTCAAAGAGCCGCACAGACTCGATGGGCCGAATGGCCTCCTTCTGTGCCGGAACATTCTATGATTCTATGATTCTGTGGTTCTTAACAATAACTTGACTTCCACTGAGTCTGAGTTGAAGAATTTTCCACTATTCTGCCTGAACTTCGATGTTAAGTCAAAATGGTTTTCCAGGGTGAGATGAAGGTGGAACTTCAGGCCTTTTGCTTTCTTAAAAATTAGCAGATACTCCTCATAAATAAGCACCACCTCCCCCTCCCCCTCCCCCCCACCCCTGTCATATGTAAACAAATTCTTCTGCTAACTCCCCCAGCACAGAGAATGAAAATTGATCCAAAAAGTGAAAAAAGTCCTCACATTAGCAACACGTTTCAAAGTTCAGGCTGTTATGAGGGCTAACAGGAATATGTTTTCTTGCTGTGAGGTATGTCAATGTTGGCGACAACAATAATAATAATCCTTGCATTTGATATCGCACCTTATACTTTCAAGACATCTCAAAGTATAAAGCTCTGGGTTGTGATCAACAACGGCCCACAAAGTTATTTTCGATGCAAATCGAATACAAATCTTTATCTCTCCAAAATCACCAGCTCTTTGCCTACTGTGCCATTGCTCTGATCATCAGAGACTGGTGTTACCACTACACGACTGAGCTAAGCTAAATTAGACAGTCTCGTTCCTTTCTCCTCCTCCTCCTCATTCCTTTCTCTATCAACCAATCCTGAAAAATGAGCTGTAAATTGATGTTAATCCATGGCCATGATCAGATTTTTATTTGATCATCTTCTCTGCAAATCTGTTGTTGTTTGTCATGGGTGTAAACAGGATCTGTCTGCGATAAATGTGACAGGATTGGGAGCGGAATGACAGCTCATCAGTCAGAACCCATCGATCCCGAGTTTGTGATGTACTGTGTTACAGCTGGTAGTTAGCATTTTCATCTAGTGTTACTCTTAATCAAGTCTGTAGCATTAAATGGCATTGAGCAGCTGCAAAGTCACCTGCTTCCAGTGGGAGTCTGCCTGGAGTTGTTTTTTGGTCAGCCGGGCGTCTGACACAAGTGGAAACCCATCACCGCGCTTAAGAGTCTTCAAACCAAACTGAGATTTCCATACATCCCACCTACACATCAAGAGAGATTGATGGAATGGAATGCACTCTCTCAGAAAGTATTAGCACAGGTTGGTGAGAGCCAAGGCTTGGGATCCAGAGTGTGTGTTGGAGTAACGGCTGGAGTCTAACCAGCTAAAACCGCATAGCTTGCCACCGATACCACTGTCTGTCAAGCTTTCTGGCTGCTTGTCCAGCTGGGACTGCCCTACCTGTTTGTCTTGTAGGGTTATCAGGAACTGAGTGGGAGGATTCCCTGACTGGAGTTAAGAATGGCATTGAAGGGATGTTGCGTTTGTACATAAATACAGACTGGGACTCTTTCTGTTGATTCCAACGGAGAATATCCATTGCTGAGAAGCATAGAGAGCAGCAGTAAGATCAGAGTGCATGTACTGTCAGGCAGAGTGCAAGAGTGCCCCACATTGAGGCTTAATTCTGTGTGAATAAACATAATATCTCCATCCTTGTTCACAGACTCCTGGTCTATATCAAAGCACAAAAAATACAACATAACCACATAAAATTCAAAGGACTAGTTGTAGTGGGAGTATAATTCAATGTTTCCAAAGCAACCACTGTAGGAGTCTGCGATTGTGACATTGTTTGATCTCAGCTTCCTCCGAGACGTTTAGTAAAGGATGCAGTAACTCTTGAAAGGTAATGAGAGCAAGACTGGAGCACCAGGTCACCATCAAGCCATCTGCCTTTATGGGCTACTCTTATTACAAGGATGCAGAATAATTCTACAAAAACGTTACCATTTCTTTCCGCTAGTTTCAGACGTTCACTCATTCATTCCGAGCTACACCGACTGGAAATTAATTTTGAAAATTATTTTGCGACAAAATTCAAAATTGCGGTAAAGCGAGAACTGTTAGACAATAATATCGGGGGGACACAGTGTATAGTTTGGGGGGGATACAGTGTATAGTTTGGGGGGGATACAGTGTATAGTTTGGGGGGGACACAGTGTATAGTTTGGGGGGGACACAGTGTATAGTTTGGGGGGGGGACAGTGTATAGTTTGGGGGGCAATACAGTGTATAGTTTGGGACATGACATGTAAAGCGCCTGATGGGATGGTTTGAGGCAAACTCTTCTTTCGGCGGCAAATTCTTATGTTCTTGTGTTCTTCTGAGTTAGAGTTCAGGGCGACTTGATGTTTAGTTCTGTTCCAAAGTTCCGATTCCCGCTATGTTGTTCCCCGAAGCTCAAGTAGAACTCACAGGAATTTTCTTTTAAAAAAAAAACAACAATCATGTCTGCTTCCTCTCTCTGGCTATCTGTCCAAATGCACGTCAACTGGAGAAAGTGTTTGAAATGATTGGAAATGATTGTTGCTAATGGGAATCAGAGCCAGAGCTCTGACAGTGTATAACTGCAGGGTCAGGATACACATTCCCATCATGGGGTGGGGTGGGGGGAGAACAGGATGTGTTTTCCTCATAGCACCGGGTGTGTAATATTCGTACTCCACGGCTACGTTTCAGAACTTTTAAACGTTAGAAACAGCCGTGGCTCAGAGACGTTTTGCGGGGTGAAGGGCGCGGTATATAATATAGATGCAGGTTCTTGTTGTTGGTTGATTGATAGCATTTGATAGAACCAGGGAAGAGTTCTATTTTCATATTTTTAACAGAATTACTCGAAGGTCGATTGAAACAGACGTTTCTCCTTTAAGATCGACCATTATTTATTTCTGCGTGTCTGGCAAATAAGAAAATGACCTTAAGAGAACATCTCAAAACATACCAGAGAGCCCCTCCCCTGCCTGCCCCTGCCCCTGCCCCAGCCCCTGCCCCTGCCCCTGCCCCTGCCCCTGCCCTGCCCCTGCCTGCCCCTGCCCCTGCCCCAGCCCCTGCCCCTGCCCTGCCCCTGCCTGCCCCTGCCCCTGCCCCAGCCCCTGCCCCTGCCCCTGCCCCTGCCCTGCCCCTGCCTGCCCCTGCCCCTGCCCCTGCCATCAGTCGCTGATCAATACCCGCAGCATTGAGAGATGGTGCCATTCCCTGAGGGGATATTTCAGGCATTGCTCAAACTTCTGTGTGGGGAAATTTGACATTTTTACAGCAGAGGGTGATGTCCAAGCCGGCTCAGTCCCTGTGATTATTTTACTATAAATAAGGCCTTTCTCCCAAACTCCTGTCGTCAGTGGCCAGATCTCCAGGTTACGTGTCTGAACAGCGTACGGCAACACGGCTGATAAATGAAAGCATTCCTTTCCCACTGTCTGATGTTTAGTCATTAACTTAGACTCATCACTCGCACGTGTCGCCAATCTAATCTAGAACATAACCTGCTGCCAACAGTGAACATGATTCATCCACTGCAGAATCAACACGGAGTTACCATAATTCCCACCTAAGCAGTGAAACATCTACTGAATGGTGCAGTGAACCATCACTACACTTTACAGTATATTCTGTGAAGCGCTTTGAGATGTCTTGACGACGTGACAACATGCAAATGCAAGGATGATTTTAATTATTATCCTTATAACTCTTTGTTTCCTGATTACTGGATGGTGAAAGTAGACTTCTACAGTCACAGTTTGAAAATTTTCTTTTCAAAAGCAAAAATGTGTGGCAAGATACACAGCACACTTCAGTTTCTGGGTCAAAGTCTCAGGTCTCCTTTGGTGGTAAGGATCCTAACTTTTAGTCTATTACCAAATTGATGAGATCCAAAGCCAACAAAACTGATGGTAATTTGGTGATAAAATGGATCTAAACTGGCGAGTGTTTCCCTCGGATGCTTGTTGCTGATGCTGCTCACCTTGACGTTAGTAGTGTTGCTGGTGTTTGAGATATCAACTGGGCTGAGAGTGTGGGCGAAAGAAAATCTGTACTCTGTCTGACCCTGTGAATAATCACTCTTTTTTTTTATGTCAACATAAAGTACCATCAGTTAAAGGTCCAGTGTTGTCCAGAACTATTTCTGCATAATATTCAGACACTATAAAAATTCAATTAGTTTTACAATACTGTAGTTTAATTCTTTTCCAAATTAAATTCAGTCTGGCACAGCTGGTAGCATTCTTGCCTTTGAGTCAGAAGGTTGGGGCTTTGAGCTTATAGACCAGTCTGATACAGCAGCCTGGGGAGACCTATATTGTCGTAGATCAAACATTTGGACGAGACATTAAACCAAGGCCCTGTCTGCCTGTTGAGATGGATGTTAAAGATCCCATGACTTTGCTTTGCACAAATTGGCTGCTGTATTCATTCTGTGAAGCACTTCGAGACATCTTGAAGACATGATAAGGCGCTATATCAAACGCAAGTATTATTATTATTTCTTTACATATACGTACTCACTACTGCAAATTGTATGAAGCGCTTTGAGATGTTTTGACATGATAAGGTGCTGTAAT